AAAGCCAAAGAAATAAATGCAGCAGGAGGCGTGGGTAGATTTGATAGTATTTTATATTACTTCACTGACATGGATTGGTTTAGAACTAGTGGGTAGATTTGATAGTATTTTATATTACTTCACTGACATGGATTGGTTTAGAACTAGTGGGTAGATTTGATAGTATTTTATACTACTTCACTGACATGGATTGGTTTAGAACTAGTGGGTAGATTTGACAGTATTTTATATTACTTCACTGACATGGATTGGTTTAGAACTAGTTAGATGTTCAGCAACTTATAATCACTAAGTTTTTGTTTTGCTTTTACGTTTGGTTTCAAAATAATGATTTATAGATATCTCTATAAACAATTTTAGTGTTGAAACAAAAGTTTCCATTTCTAATGTCTATGAATTCCGTTTTCAGAATAGATTTTTTTTGTAATACTTTTCTAAAATTATTTCTGTAGATATTTCAGTGTCTGTTTTACAAATTTCGCGCAAAGCTACTCCTGGGGCTATTTGCGCTTGTCGTTCCTAATTTGATAGTAATAGGGAAGGCAGCTAGTTAACACCACCCACCACCACCAACTCTCGGGGTACTCTTTACTAACGATTAGTGGGATTAGCTGTTACATTATAACGCATATTCGGTGACGGAATTTGAACTCGCGACCCGCAGATTGCGAGACCGGCGCCGTAGCTACCAAGCTATGCCTCATGATAGTTAAACGTTACTTTATAGTATTATATTCGATTATTGAGTAGTTAATAAACATCATCAGTGGTTCATTTTGTCTTCACCACACTTAAAACGATTTGTGATGATAATTCAAACAAATCATTTTCTGAACTATTATATAGAATATGGAAGATATAATTTCACAACAAAACCCACCATGGACATTTTACAAATTCACTTCGTTGTCAGCACTTTTTGTTCTGATGTTTAGGTAAGTCGTCAGTCTAGTTAAAATGGAATCTAATCAAAAACATATTAGGTGTGTTCACCTTGGGGCATCAAGGCGGGTAAAACAAAATACGTGGCCTAGCTAATTGACGAATGAATATTTGCTGTAAAATTCTTATCAATGCTATAAGTGTAGCTACAAGTTTGACCTCTAATTTAATTTAATTACTTTAAGTCGCACATTCAATCCTTTTTTGGCTGCACCTTTTTCTAACATCTAAGGTGTTTTTGATTAGATATCATGACTTTTTGTCAATATACACCAGTAAACCACAGTAAGTAAGAAAGTGACACTCGGTAGTAACCAACATCAGCTTTAAGATCGCAACTCAATTATTCGGAACAGACCTATACTTTACAGAACCAACCAGATTCTTTAAAATATATGGTGGTAGTTTTTCCTCCCTTAAACAGTGTTAATAACTTCCTTTATAGTAACGCCATTGAAACTAGATTAAGGGTTTCTTCTCAT